AGCAGCTGGGCTGTGGAGCTTGGACAGGCAGGGGGTGTTTAACTGTCATAGGTCACGTAATGAGCCATCCCTACCGCTGACATAAGCTGCCTGTTTTCTTTCCTTTCTCCAGGAAGCACATCTTGAAGTTCCTGGATGCAGAGAAGGACATCTCAGTGCTGAAGGGGACCCTGAAGCCTGGGGATGTGATTCACTATGTCTTTGACAGAGACAGCACCATGAATGTCTCCCAGAACCTTTACGAGCTGCTGCCACGGACTTCTCCCCTGAAGGGCAAGCACTTCCGGACCTGTGCCATCGTGGGCAACTCGGGAATCCTGCTAAACAGTGGCTGTGGGAGGGAGATTGATGCACACAGCTTTGTAATAAGGTAGGCCTGATTTCCTGGGTCAAACTGTAAGTCAGTCTAGCCCAAAATCCTGTCTTATGCAGGGACAGAGCGTGGGAGGCTGAGAGGGAGCATGAACAGGTGCGATCCAAAACCTTCCACCCCATGCTCCTCTCCTATTCCAGCTTCCACATTGCATTCTCCAGCTGCAATTTGCACACACATGTGCATGTGCACACACACGCACACACATGCTTCATCCCTACAAGCATCCCTCTTATCCCAAGCTCCCACCCATTATAATCCTCACACGTACCCACGCTTCTACAGTCACACACAGCAACTTCTCACACCCACATTGTTCACATCCTACCATACACTTGTATCCCCAGCCCCTGCAGATGAACCGAGTTCACACACACACACACACACCACCCACAGCCCAATGCACTCTTTACTTCATACACTCCTACAACTCTGCATCCTTTTCACACCCTACCACTCACTTTCTCAAGCACACTCCACCGCTTCACAACTTGACAAGGAAGTATAGAAATACCCCAGTGGCACATGCACCACCCACTACATGCATATAAAGACCCTCCTGTACACACACACAGTAACATACATAGTCTGTATATAAACTCTTTTCCCTGCTGGTGCCTATACGCAAAGCCGGACACAGGCATGGATGAACTGGGTGGCCGCCTTGGGCCTGGACAGAAAGGGGGCCCAAAAATTATAATTTTTTCCCATTGTCCGATTATTATTATCATTATCTCTGGTGAAGGGGGGCCTGATACTAAAAGTTCGCCCAGAGCCTCCAGGAGTCTAGGTATGGTGCTGCTTTTACACCCCCACAACACCCTAATCTAAACCTGTCATATGTACACCTGCATCACACCCAAATACACACTCTTTTACTCCTACAGTCACGTGTAGACAATTTTCCACACACACACTCTGTCCTTACACAAACACACTCCCCCCTGCCCCGCTTTCTTCACACAAGTGCAATAATTGCCAGCAGCATGCTTTAGGGAGCCTGCAGCAAAAAGGAAGATGCCCACTGTTTGATCCTTATGGCCCATACAGTTGCAGTGGCTGAGGAGCTGTGACAAGTCTGCGGATGATTTGTGCCTGTGCAGATGTTTGCTTTCTGGCCAGTCTATTACGGAGACAGCCCCAATCTGTCAGTGACTTACAAAGCAATTCTGCGTGTGACATGGGAATGAAGATAACGCCACCTCTGCCCTCTGGACAACACATCCAATCCAGCCTTCCTGGCTGTCAGACAGGGATTGAGTTTGGAGGAAACATTCCCTGGGTAGTTTGCTCCATGGCTTGAAACGGAGCAAAGCCTATTCAGAGCACAAAGGCTGGCACAGTCACAGCAAGGGATGGGGCTACTGAAGAGAGTCCAAGTCCACATTTATATTAAAAATGTGTGCAAAGACAGTAGTGTGGAGTCAGGGAACAGATTTTTGCGGCATTTCTACGTTGTTTCAGAGGCCTAATGTAGATGCAGTTACACTGGGGAAAGCATATAGGCTGTAGCAGCAAGAGCACTTTTCTGCCAGTGTAAGGTGTATCTCCACTGGGAGGCTGAGCATGGATAACTGTCCCACTAGACTGGTGAGCTGCTTCTAGTGTAGCTATGCCCTGCTGGGGCTGTTTCTGGGCTCAGAGACTGCCAAGTCTTTGGATTTGGTCCCCTTTATTTGAGTAAGCAGTGTTGTGACTTAAGTAAGGGTCTGGCAGTCAGGACTCCTTGGTGCTGTCTCTTGGAGGAGGGAAGGGTTCTTAAAGAAATTGCATCGCTGGTCTGTGCCGCAGTGCCATTCTCCATAAGAGGAGATGGTGAAAGGCCTTGATATGGGAGACATGGTGAGGATCCAATCCGTCAGTGTTCAACAGGTGCAGGAAGACCCTGAAACTGAAAGGTGCCATCGAAACACAAGCAGTCAGCAGAGCCAAGGCACCCTATGTTTTTCAATGTGATGCCAGTAGCCTAGCATCCTCCTAATTTCCTGTGGGTATCCATCAGCTGCTCACGCTCCAGTCTGCCATCACCAGGGTATGAGCCGGATCAGTAAAATCATCTGTCACTCGGTCAAAACAAATAGGACAACCAAGCGTGACTTGAATGCTGCCTGTGGAAAGAGCAGGAACCAACAGGGAAAGGGTTGGTTCTGTTTCCAGCATGTGGCAAATGTATCTCATCGCTTCAGAACCTCAGTCCCTAGACTCCTGCTGTGATATATAAGCTGGAGTCCTGGACAGAGAGAATGAAAGGCATGTTCAAGGAAGGAGCAAGTGGGAGAATTCCTCAGCGTGCGTGTGTGCGCATCTTCTGACAGGAGACACCAATTAAAATGCAGAGAGAGATGGCTGCAGGTCGCTGTTCCCAAACGGCCCAGCCCTGGGGAGGCCAGAAGCATTGATAGTCCTGGCATCCACCTTCTGCTGATATCATTACCGTTGCTGGTGCCACAGGGTCTGCTGTACAGCAGGGAGTCACCAGGAGAGAAGAGACTCAATAGCATTACTCTAGCAGGGCTAGAATGAAGGGCTGCGGGTGTCACAGTTGTCATTTCTGGCTCTCATCGGATGTTTCTAGCCCTTCCAATTATAGCAGCTCCCTGCACACTATGGCACAGTCAGTTTTCCGGAGTGGTTGGCTGAAGGTATCGCAGAGCAGCAGCTCCACGTGGATGCACTTGTACTTATGCATGGCAGGCCGTGTTCTCGATCAGAGTCAGCTCTGGCAGGGGAGTTTGTGCTACAAGACTCCAGCCTTTGTCTACACTGACCTACAGCCACTGCAGCTTTCCTAAGGCTATGTTAATAGTTGTTTGCCACTCCGAACAGACGGTTCTCCTCATGCTAGCTTGCCAGTTTCTTGTGCACTTCCCAGCTCACCTGGAGTGCACAGAGCAGTGAGGGAGGTTAGGGGTGTACTGTCTTCTCCTCCTACCTTTTGATATTCAGAATGTACATCAGACCTTTGCTCTAGTGAGGGTTTCTCTATGCTGGAAGCACTGCTGTAGTTCATACCTGCCATAGTGACAGAGATGTTACCAGGTCCTTTCTGCACAGCGCACATGACAGATGCATGTCTGTACAAACCCATGCTGGGAACAAAAATACACACCCTGAGGTATTTATGCGCATGCACACAGAGGCATGCACACAGAGAGACAAACATGCTAGCAGATACACACACACGTGTTAGGACATGCATAAACAGATGTCTTTGTATACATTGATCCATTCACCCAGGTATGTGAATGTGCATGCACAGATTGTGCAGTTGTGTTTGCCCACACACAGAAGTGCATATGCATACAGGCTCAGACATGCTTGACTCTGCACGCAAGTACACTGAACAGCTCCCACATACAGGCGTTAACACATGCTTTTTCTTGAATTTCCTGTACCCATAGTGGTCTTTCTATATTAAAGCAGGATCTTTGATGTGAATGCTTTATAACATTTCAGCACTGTGCGCTCTGGATGGTGATCCTCAGCCCACTAGTGACCATGGAGGTGCTGGGGGGAGGCCAGAGGGGGGATGATAGATCCTGGATGATAGATCTATTAATAGCTCTTGAACAGAAGGGTTGGAGCTGTTTCCTGTTACATCTCTAAACCAATAATGGCAGATGTGGAGGGTAATGAATAGAGGATAGATCATGCTAGCTATAGCTGGTTCAGTGCTTTCCCTCTAAAGCTTCCACCCCTGCTCTGAAATACTAGACTAGACGGACCATTAGTCTGACCCATTGTGGCACTTACGTCCTGATACGGGGGGAAGGAGGGCAGTTAGCTGACTCCCGCAGGTCCAGACAGCTTTGTGCTGGGAGTCTGTGCTGCCCTGCACATACCGCTTCCTGAACGAGAAGCGACAGGGCTGCCTTATTGCAAGAGAGCTCTACACTAGCATGCATTACATTAACAACTGTGGGAGACAGCACACCAGGACTAGCCCACATAACTGCATGGTGCTGCCGTCCACTGACATAACACTGCGCTGAAGCTGCTACACAGCTTTTTATAGTTTCATAGTAGTTAGGGGTCAGAAGGCACCTAAATAGATCATCTGGTCTGACCCTCCGCCACTGGCCGGAGCACGTGACCCCAGCCAGGTGTTCATCCAACCTCTTTTTGAATTTACCCAAGGTAGGAGCAAAGACCACTTCCCTAAGAAGTTGGTTCTGGATCCTAGCCACCCTAACGGTGAAATAATGCCTCCTAATCTCTAACCTGAACCTATTCTCCAGCAGCTTCTGGCCATTGTTCCTTATCACCCCAGGTGCTGCTGGGGAGAATAGGACCCTTCCTATTTGCTGCTGATCTCCCCTAACAAGTTTGTAGGCAGCCACCAAATCTCCCCTCAGCCTCCATTTGCTGA